AAAAAAAAAAAAAAAAAAAAAAAAAAAGAGAAAATAAGAGGAAAAGAGGAAAAAGTAAAGAGGGAAGGGGAAGGCAATGAGGAAGGGAAGGGAGTTTAGTGGAAAAAGATGAGTTAAAGAAGCAGCTCGATGGGAAGCTCCTTAGGCAGGGAGAGCTCCGGGGCTGCTTCTGCACCTTCCCCAGCCGGAGCAGAGGCAGAGGCTGCTCCCGCTGTGAAAATCCCCCCAGGAAGCAGGGGATGCTCTGCTCCTCCGGGAATAAATTCTGCCTGGGGAGGTTTGTCCCTGCAGAGAAAATGCCCTCAGCAGCCTGGAAGGGAAATTGCCACTGCCCCACATCTGAAGGATGAGCTTTGGGCCACTCCTGATCCCAGCTGAAAAAAAGGAAAGGCAGGAATGTTCCCCTGAGAGCAACACCATCCTCTGAGAGATGTAAACCCCACAGTTTTCCATAAAATAAAGTATTATACTAGTGCTTTTTGGCCAGTCCAACTTTTAATCTATATAAATCACACTGGAGATGCATCAGAACTGATTTCACATGATTTACATAATTTCTGTGGGATTAAAAGACCTCAAAGAAACCCTCAGAGCTCATAACTCCTCTGATATCCACCACACCACAGAGATGTGAGAGATACATAGAAAACAGGCGATTTTTCAGCTGAGTTCAGTGGGGGTTTTGCATTTAGGGTTGCAGAGTCTTGTGAAATAATATTTATCTCCCTGTCCCCTTTTGCCTCTGACTTTTGGTTAACAAATCAAGAGCCCAAGAATCAGACTTTGCAACCTGATTCTTCTGCAAATACTTCACATTTCATTTGCCCTGAATATTTTAGAAATGCTTAAAATGTGTAGGTTTTGGCACTGTTATTTCACAAATGGTAAAAACCATTGTACCTGACTTGGGTACAGCTTTTGTACAGGGAAAATGTTGAAATTTGTGCCATGTCCCAGCCATAATTGCTTTGTTGACATCATTATCCTGTCATTAAATCTGTGACTTGAAAGTTTTAAACCTTCACTTGTGTTTAAAGCCACTTTTTTAAAGGGCAACCTGCAAGGGACAGGCCTGCTTTATACTTCCACCATCTGCTTCAGCAGATCAGGAAAAGATTGTCCTGCAGAAACCACTGAGGGCCAGCACTTCAAGGGTGGCAAGGAAGAAATGTCACCTCTCCCTCATCCCTACCCTGCTGCAGGCTCTGCAGAGCTCCTGGGAGAGGCTCCTTCTGATAGATCCTGTCTGGAACCATCAGGAATAAAACTCTTGGAATCCAGTCCCAGAATCATGAAACCTCCTGGGCTGGACGGACCCCACAAGGATCATCAAGTCCAGCTCCTGGCCCTGCACAGGACAAGCCAAGCATGGTGTTGCAAGGATTTGGTCATTCCCAGCCCAAGGGTTCTGGCTGGCAATAAGGAGGTGTTAGGTTAGCTTCATTCATCCCCACAAAACCTTAGGAATCAGCATTTTCCCACCCCTACTAATTCCCCCTCACCTTCTCTGTTTACAGCAGTGTTTGTTTGCTTTATGTGTCGTCTGGTGGTGTCCTCTAGTGGTTCCTTCCTGCACGAGAAACACCACATTCCCTGGCTAAAATTATGTCAGCTGCATTGTAAAAACACTTGTAGGAGAGGAAAACCACAGATTTTGACAGGACTCAAAGGAATAGCAAAAATAGATGGCATTCTTCTCCTTCATTTATGTGTTTAAAAGTTACAGCAAAGTTCACTCTGTCTTAATATTAAGGAAAACATATGAAAGGTAACAAAAACAGCATGACTCAA